TTCCTGCTTCCCCCACCACAAAATTGCCATCCCAAAAAGGCCATAGTAGAGGTCGAACTTATTTAAATCTGCAGATTTAAAGGACCAGCCACTCAGCAGAATGGGAAGGGCTGCCATAAAAAAGTAAAGGCAAAGCTTTGAGCTATACGATAAGAAAGAATTCAGGAAGTAGGTCAGTTGCACTTCTAGAAAAAGGATTGAGGGTTTTTTTTTTAAGTGCTAAAGAAGATATTTTACAGAAAGCTTCAGATACTATAGCCTAGCATATTATGTATTTGAGCTACTGATATCCTTCTCTTGTTCTTCTGTTACGTTGTATGCTGTGGATATAACGCATACCTATATTTTTTTCTGAAAGGCAACAGCTTCTTTTGTTTGAGTTTTAACTCTGAGCTTTAGCCTACCAGTTCCATTTATTTCTCTCTCAATAATTTAACAAGAATAGCTGATAATTGGTAGGGCCCCTTTTCTTTGAGCACAAAGCTGAATTATTAGATTATTGAAGAGTGCCTTGATTAGTTCAACACAGCATGAGAGTGATTGCTTTATAACTTTTCTTGATATGGCATCTGGATAATTACTGAAGGAAATGTAGACTATAGATCTAGTAAAACAGAATGGACTAACACTTGTTCAGATTTAATTGATTTTTTTTTTATCATAGTAACATCTGTCAAGTTTCAGGAAGTATATGCTAGGTTAGAATTTCATTGCTTTATATAGATTGTGGTCCAAATTTAAGAAACAGTTTAGAAACTAAAAGATATAAATAGGTACCTTTAGGACTCATAATACTGCTTATAAAGATAGGTGCTTAGTTTTCATTGAGGCCAATAAAAACTAAATGCATAATCTGCTAAAAACTGGCTCTAAGTCAAATGCTGGGCATTCAGGAAGCCATACTGCTTCTAAATCTCGAAGTGGGATAACAGTACCTATGCTAATCTTCTTGTTTGTTTGTAGCTAATAATTCTAACAGACCTATAGAAACGAGAAAAAAAATACATATACTTGGACCATTTTCAGTTTGCTTGGCTTGTCACAAGCATGATACCTGAAAGCGGAGGTGTTTGGAGGCTTTTTATGAACCTTTGCTATATTGAGTTTTGTCTTCTCTGATTTTGAAGGAGACTTACTAAATGGTTTAGAGTAGGAGTTTTTCTTAGCCTGTAATTGAAAGGGTGGGCAGGTGTGAATCTTTCAGATGGAGCTTTCCCCCCAAGTGTTTTTCAGGTGTTTCTATTACATAGGTGCTCATAAAATTAAACAAAACTGAGGGTTTCAACAGATTACGTAAAAGCCCCTCCCCCGCCTTTTTTTCTTGTAATTACTAAACTTTTACTGTTGCTTGTGATGCTGCTGCTCTACAAGTTCTTTACCAAAGAGAGGACAGATTTTTTTAATACATATCACAGAGTAAAAATTATACAAAATCACAATTCCCTCTGCTGCTCACCTTAAAAGAACTTTGGCTGCATTTACTTGAAAAGTACAAATTATTTTGTTCAGTCTTTTTCTGTTTGGTTTCTTTTCTGTGGGGAATTAATTGTGTTATGCTTAATACCTTATTTTAACTGATACTATACGAAGTCCATACATTTGTACTAGAAATGGAATCTGTTCTCAGGAGGCAATTGTTAATACAGAAGGCTGGAAATGCCAGGAAACTACACTTTTAGATACAACTCCTTCCTTTTCAACTTGCAAGAATGTGCTCCTAGGCATGAGGTATGGAGTCTGAAACATGAATCTCCAAATTTGGGTGACCTTCATGTGTCAGGACTAATCAAATAAATTGTTTAAAGAGACAGCAAAGTGACGTCTAACCAACATAAAAAGCTTAGTTGGATATAGTTTCAGCTACTCCCCCTACCAGCTTATTACATTGGATTCCAAAGAAAATCTTTTCTTTCTTTCCTTCTTTCCTTTCCTTTCAGGAGGCAGGGACACCAACAAGGGAAACAAATGAAATTGGACTCTCTGGTTTGTGGACTTTCCCTTAATTGTTTTTCCAGTTACAGTAATTTGGG